AGCAGCTGGCCCTTGCTGCTCATCTTTATGGCTAAGCCAATAGATGCTAAGTATTCAGCAGTATAATGATCTCCTGGCTCTTGGGGAGGCCTTAGATTGAGTTACCCCTATGTGGAGTGCAATTGACTTGTTTTCTGCAACCCTGAAGCCTTATTCACTGATTTGGAGTGGTGTTCTTGAGGACCACACATGTGAAGCTGCAGGCATGGCTGTCCTGCTGCAGCTCCAGCAGGGAAGCTAAGTAGTGGCTGACTACACAATCCAATTCATGAAGCTGGCTATGGAAAACTGGCTGGGAAGGATCAGACCTCAACAGCTGTTATAGATTAGTGCCCACTACAACTCATTCCTTTGGTGAGGTGATGGGCGGCAAATGAGGTGGGGGTTGTTTGTACAACTGTTTATTTCTGCCATTCCTTGCTTCTTACTTGTCTTCCTTCAGTGCTCCCTGCTTCTTACTCATCTTCCTCTGCTCCAGTTTGGCTCACCCACAGGCTGTGATCTCCTTCAAAGTTTTCCTGCACCAGCATAGCTCACCCATGGCCTGCAGTGCCCTCAGGAGTGTATTTCCTTGGGCATTGAGCACCTCCTTTCAGGCGTGTGTCCCTAGCTGTGTCCCCAGTGTGTCTTCTCTTCTCCTCTTCCCCAGTGGTTGCAGCTCTGAAATTTTTGTGAGCTGGGATTCTGTGTGCTCCTCTGACTAGCTGAAGTTTTGGTGTCTAAAATGGTTTGTTTATACTGGTTTCAGAGCCAGCTGGAACCAGCTCTGACTTGCCCAGCGCAGTTCATGATCTCCTCCCACGCATCACCTTGGCAGCCTCCTGCTACCCACATTCTATAATCAACTGGGTTACAAAAGCATATCCGTATCGTTAACTGGAAACTGGAAGTCTTGTGTTTCCCTGCAGGAAGAGATGCCTATATCCTGACGGCAAGAGGCTGCCTTGAGATCTTCTCCAGGCTGTCTTCCCAACCTCAGCACCCTATATAGCAATGGGCACAAACTGAGCCACAGGAAGTTCCACCTAAACCTGAGAAAAAACTTCTTCACTGTGAGGGTGACAGAGCACTGGAACAGGTTGCCCAGAGAGGCGGTGGAGTCTCCTTCGCTGGAGAGAGTCAAAACCTGCCTGGATGTGATCCTGGGCAATATGCTCCAGAGGACCCTGCTCCAGCAGGAGGGGTTGGACTCGATGATCTCCAGAGGTCCCTTCCAACCTAAATGATTCTGTGATATGGGTCAGTCCAGGGATTCCATGTTTCTGGCTTTACGCTGTGGGAGGCTGCATGCCCTGGTTTCCTGCTAATGGCCCTACAACCTCACCCTGCAGGGCAGTGACCAAAGAGTGTAATTATGCTACAGCCACACCAAGCTGATGCCTCCAGATCATGGCTGTGCCCTCTTGACAGCACAGCCTTAATGCAGTTACACCTGCATCACCGCAGCTCTGTCTTGCCTGGTTCCCAGGGCTATATCTCTGCCTCAGAGTCTGCTTCTCCCCTCTCCCTCACTGTGCTACCAGATGAATACAGTGAATCTAGATGTCTTTGAGATGAAGGAGTCAGAAACGTTACTACCCAGTTGCTCATTTTACTGTCCCGTTGACCTGACACCAGGTCCACAGCAGGCTGAATAACATCATGATGAAGAACCTGCATCTGCTGCTGCTTACCCTGGAGCTTTATAAACATTTGCAAGGGACTGCTTGTTCACAAAGCTGAATCTGTGAGAGGCCTACAGTTTACTCCAAATCTGTCAGGTGAAAACTGCCTTCCGCACCACATACAGCCTACTAAGGGCATCTTGCGATGCCATCTGATCTCTGCACTGCTCCAGACAACTTTCAGCATTTTGTAAATGATGTCCCGAGAGACTGGCTTCATTACTAGGTCATGGCATATCTAAATGACATCTGTCACGTTCTACACCACTTAAGAGGCACACATAGACCACGTCTGGGAGGCCTGAGTTACTTGTGCAGCACCAACTCTATCCAAAACTTGAGAAAAGCTCCTTTGACCAGCAGAGGATGGAGCTCCTGTGGTACCTAATGGGCCAAACATCTTGAATATGGACCCCCAAAAAGCTGAAGCCATCACATGTTGCCAGCTCCCTTCTAATGTGCAGGGGGTGAAAAAGATCCTAAGGTATGCCAACATCTACTGGTGATTCATGAATGGGGTTTTCTGGTGCTGTGGCTCCTGCAAGGGCACTCGGAAGACAGCTTACTTTTGATGGATGCCTGAAGCACAAGTGGTTTTTGAGAAACTGAAATGGGTATTCACCACATGCCCTATCTTAGTCTACCTAGATTGCAGTCAGCCTTACGTTATGGAAGCAGATGCCTCAAAACAAGCCATAGTGGCCATCATCTTCCAGAAGGCTGTCCCTACACAGCAGTTCTACCATATACTTTTTTCTCCTGGCAGCTACTCCCCGCGGAGGAACTAGGCATTTGTTTGGGACAAGGAGCTTCTGGCAGTCCAAGCACCTTTGAAGAGCGGCAGCAACTCCTCGAGGGAGCAACAGTGTTGCGGACGAAGGTGGACTAATATCAAGAGGTGAATTGCCTCTCTCTCAGTCTTGCTCCCTGAGCCTTCTTTTTCCCTGCTTCCCCTTCACTTTCATGTAACATTCAGGAAAGCAGAATGGCAAGGCAGAATGGCTTGTCATGGAAGGAGGATTCAGACTTGCTTGCACACCACGTGCATGCACCCTGACCCTTTTTTCTCCAAAACGCTTTGTTGCAGCCATGGCAGAGGATGAATTCATAACAGAATTTTGCCATGCCGCTGCAAATGACCTGTGCCTAACAGCATCCCATTGGCACAGCTGCCCTCAGCCTGCAAGAACATGATGGTTGCCTGTACCAGGGCGGGCAGCTCTACATCCTTCAGGGACCACTGCAAACACAGGTGTTCCACTGATACCATCATGCATCTGCACCCAGACACAGGGGCTACTGCAAGATGCAGCACCTGATTTCCTTTGCCTGTTTGTTGCCTACACTACAGGCAGATGTGGCTATGTCTAAGCATGCAACAGCTGCGCTCACACCGAAAGGCCTCTGTAAAGATATCAGGATCTCTTATAGCCCCTCCCTACAGCCAAACGTCCTTTACAGTGTCTGCTTATGGGTACTGCCCTCTGATCGTGGGCAACTGACAGCTCCTTAGCAGCAGCCAGATCTTGCCTCAGCTTCCCAGCAGAAGTTAAGGCCTGCTGTGGCTGTCCTTGCCTGGCTCCCCTCACCTCTCTGCAGCAGGCACCCTCTAGGTGCTCAGAGGGTTCCCAGAATACAGCTGTAGAGACATGAACTACAGCTTGTTGCCAAGCTTCAGGGTATCCATAGCTTTATCTAGAAAATCTCAACAAGTGTGCGTGGTGCTGCAGTGCCCAGTACGAACACAAAGCATCTGCAATACCCATGAACAAATCTAGCATGTTGGGCTTACCATGCATCCTTTTCTCAGCTATACTTTTATCCAGAATACAATGCACTTGCTCCTTTTGCATCTATCATTTTACAGCTGACTCTGTTGGATCTAGTAAATACACAATAGTCATGTCCCTGAAATTCCTCATGAACCTTTCCTGTTTTTCCACAGAAGCAAAATTTCTAAACAGAAAAGAGAATGCGTGTCATAAAATCTGTATGTATCACTGTTCTAATACCACATTAATTTAATTGTTGAAAAAAAGTGTCAAGTGATAGATATACTTGCATAGTGTGCTAAATGAATACAGCTCTACTCTATAACATATCTAGATTAAAGGCTGTCAGTTTTGTTCTGCTTTAAGAAGTTTTTGTTTTTTGCAATACTTGTACAAAATAAGCATTGGATGAGGATGCTGTACTAGCTACACAGTAAGGAAGCAAACTTCTGCCATTAGTATTGCTGTTTCAAAATGGATACACCTACAGTGATATTAATTCAATTACTATGATTTTTTAGCAATACATTTAAGAGATCTGAATGCTATGCATATGTTATCAAATAACATGGAAGAAAACTATAGAGTATGTTCTAAAATTAAGTAATCAAATCTTCCATTATCTTTGTTTTGGAACATGGTAAATTTCACTTTTTGATTTTTTTTTTAAACATATGGATTTGGGCATATTTCCATCTGTCATTTGAGAGTTCCCAACGACGTGTGCTTATATCTCTCAAAGTACAAGACTGGAAGACAATGAGATGAAGTATGCTGTAATGGAAGAGAACACCAAGGTAATATATACAAGGTGGAAAGCTCTCTTCCTCTTTCGCGAGAGAACTCTCATGCTGTGACGTATATGCATAAATAGAAGAATAATGAGCTCCTACTCTACGCCCAAATTTTTACATGAAATTTCCTCCTTTTTTCTGAGAAAAGGAAGGACAGTAATATTTAGTTAGTTTTATATTAACAAGAGATGTATGATTTCATGTTAATTGAATATTTACTTTTAAAGAAAAGGAATATGAGGGGATTCTACCAATGCTGTGTGACCCAATTTACTACAATATGCTTAAGCTTTCCTTTAAGAAAGAGCTTACAATTTAAACACAGTGGATTTCAAACAGATCCCTGTGACGAATAAGCTCTCTCTCCCCTACCACTTACCATTCAAACATATAAGAGAATTGACTTCATGCATTTAACATGTACAGGAAAACCAAGCCAGATAATGTTCTCCCAATACTGAGAAGAGGCTCTAAGAATGATACTTTAGGAACGATGCAGAAAAATATCTTTGATGTCATGGTAACTGAACAAAGAATCAGAGCCACTCTCAGAGTTATTTTCATGATCAGAAGAAAGGGTATGTGAACTGATGAAGCAGTCAGTGGCAACAGAGTACTGATCAGCTTTCCAACCTCTGAAAAATCAGGGAGGAAAAGAAAAATGTATATAAAAAAGAGGCACGGTGGTATTCAAGAAACAGACATAGACTGCTCAGAAAATAGAGGAAAGAAGGAGAAAACCTGAGAAAGAAAATAAGAAGTTGACTCACCATTTTCACCCTGAGCTGGTGTTACCTCACTAAGGTTCCTCCTACAGGACAGCTATGACATTTTAAGCAAGAGGAGATTTTGGTTACTGTAAACAAGAAGCTTTACTTGAAAGCACCTTTCAGAAAAGGTCTTTACTCCCCACTTTCTGTTTTATAATACACTCACCTGAAACAACTCCTGTATATTTGTTCTCAGGACTCCGAATACCGTGCGGTGATGACCCAGCAGACAGCCTGCAATACTGAGCGTTCTGCTTATCTGGTGTGTCTGGATTTGTCTTACACTAGAGGGAAAACCTGAAAAAGCAGGTGAAAATAGAGCCAGAAGAAGAAAAAAAAGGGCATTATTTCTGAAATTCCTCTATTGTCGATTTACGTGAGTAACAGAAATTGGTCATTCCACAGAATGCATGTGTGTACATATCTTATAGAGGGTGAGAGAGTGAGAGAGAGAACGAGAAGCAAGCCAACAGGGAGAAGAGCAGCTTGGAAGTACCAGAGAGACAAGAGGTGAAGGAGTCCTCTGTTACTACCTGCCAGTGATCAGTAAAAAGTGACTGGACCCTCAGTCATTTGTATGTGAGGCATGTGAGTGTTTGGGGACTAGTACCCTTGTAGCACAATTGCAGAGATATGAACTGCACAAGTGGACTACAAGGTGAATAAAAAATCCTGCCTGAACTGATAGGCTCAAACATTAGTGGTCATCCCTTCATGATCTAGCTGGCAGCCAGTTATGAACGGCATAAGGGTTGACACTGGCTGACGCTGCTTTAACATCTTCATCAGCGGCCTGGAAAAGGGAACAGAAGGACCCTGGGCAAGTCTGCACATGACACAAAACTGAGGGGAGCATCCGATACACTCAGAGGCAGGGCTGCCATTCAGATACACTTTGACAAGTTGGAGGGATGGGCCAACCAGGAACACCTACAGGATGGATGCCGGTAAAGCCTTTGAAATAATTTAATGTAGGAAATGTATTAGTTATACTAGCAAAAATTTACATTAGCACAAGAACTGTAGCAGAGTAAGGTTCTAATTAAAGGGAAGAAAAACAGTTGAGATGGATATTGGGCCAAGGTACTTTATTTATATAACTCCTTAATAATCAGCCCAGGGCCTAATGTTATTTCTTATTTTTATTAATGGATTTCACACCAAATTAGGTCCATGCTAATAGAACTGACACTTAATGACAATAAGCATTGTCTATGGAGCGCTGCAATAGCATACTCTTGGATATTTTGGTGAATGTGGTGATAACATCTCAATAGCACAATAACCAGGCCATGCAAATAGTCAGGAATTAATAACAATATTTAGAAACTTAAGAAGAAAAAGGCAAGCAGGATCTTCAGATGCAAGTTCTGCCTGTGAAGTTAAAGAAACTGAGTTGCCATTATCCAAGGCTCAAGTAAAACCTCATCTGGAACTTAATTCCTGTACAGCTCTGGTCACCTATGCTTAACAAAATGTGATTCACGATCCAGGGAACTGAAGATTCCTTCTATGAGAGAAAACAAAGATAGCTCAGATTGCTCAGCCTAAAAGAGGCCAAAACAAAGCAGGACAGGGTCAACAAAAACTAAGATAAAGTTTGATTTTGTTCTTTGTAAACACAGCATGGGAGAACACAGCTGGAAGTGAGAAGAGATATTTAAGGTAACCAAAAAATTGGCAGATCAGAAAGATACAAATTGGCTATGACTAAATTTAAACTGGAAATTAAAAATGAGCTTGTAACATTTGAAAAGTGACGTTCTGGAACAACTCCCAGTAAATGTAGACAGAATAAGAAGTCTAAATAGCTGATAATTGCAGCAAAGGATTAAATGTGACTGCAAGGTGTTTGACTCAATGATTCATGAGGTTTCTTCCAGCTTCTGCGCTCCTAATTTCGCTATAAATTATGTATACATGCTGGGGTGGTAACCCACGAACAATATATCTCCCAATGACAATGTCTTCATCACCTTTTCAAGAGTTTAATAATAAAAGTCAATACAGTTTTGATGACCTGGAATCAGCCACATATCACCAAAGCATGAAGCATGAGCACGGATGTCACATAAACAGCCCCACATAAATTCTATTTAAGGTTTGATGCTTAATGTCACTCAAGAAAATTGCCACTCAAGAACATTTTCCCAAATCTTCCTGTAGATCAGGTCTGATCGCAGTGCTAAGCAGTAACTTTTCCACTGCTTCTTGTCTGTTTGTAACGGATATGGCTATTCTGAACTAGTCATGGGAATACTAAAAAAATAAATCTAGTATCTGTATTGATGATCCCTGTGGTGGCTCAGTGATAAACTTTACATAAACATTTCATGCTCCTTCTAAGTTGGAGGCAGATGGACAATACCTTTTTTACTCCTCCTTGGTAGTAACTTGGGAAAGGATTACATGCAAGCTAGTAAGAGCTTTCAAATGCCATATGCCAAAAGTGTCAAAGCTGACAACAGCTGAGCAATTTCATTGCTGACGGCAACAGCTTTATCCTGGTTGGAGTATTGGAATGTCAAACCCAGGCATCTGTAAGAAGAAAAAATTATCCCCAGTTGTTCCTAAATAATAAGTAAATGATATGACATACATTAGAGGTGTCTAGCCACTTACTCAAGGGCAATCAAGTAATATTTGTTTTCATTTGTGATTAAAATTTTCTTTGCAGACAGATTTTTATAAAACATTTTTTTTAAATAAGTGAGAGTTGTATGTAATGTGGTTAAAATAAACAAATTGTACTCTCAGTTACAGGAATGTGATTTTCATGGACCTGACTGGGATTTACTGCATAAGTGTGTCCATAATTAGATCTTAATGTCTGTGCTTTCAAAGTCAGCAGAGACACCTAAATCAGTCAAGGCTTTTAAAAAGAAGCTGCCTGGCAACAAAGCTGTAGCTCCTCAGCTTCTCTGAAGGTAAAGCTACCTGGAGATGAATAATAAAGAATAGAATTATAGGAATAATAATCAATAATCTAAAGGTGAAAATGCTAAATATAGCTTTACACTGGCCAAGTACAAGTTCTGATTAAGCAGTTAAGACTTTGTGTTAGTTTATACATGTGTTTAAAGCTCCTTTCCCTTTTTCTTCCAGAACACGGAACAAATCACAGATTATACAATTTTAAACAGTATAAAACAGTATTTTTCCCTGTTCTGGGAAAGAAATATATTTGGATCGGAGCCATTTGCTACCCCAGGCTGGGCTTGGTACCAATACAGGTAAGATCTCCTTAAGATAGATGGCTCTGCCATTGCCAGTCATCACTTTCATTTTCTCTTCCTCCCTTGTCACTATGTGTTTGTGTGGCAATCACTGGACTGTGTCTGACCGTGGTTACCTTCACCAGGCCTGATCCTGATGTCTTCCCAGCTTGACCTCGGACCTGCCTAATCACTTGCACAAACTTGCCTGAAGATATGAACTCTTGGCTGAAGCGGGCTGCCATCCCCAGGTTTGCCCTGTTTGCCTCATTCGGGCACTGCGGATGGCAAGGCCCCTGCCCTGGCAGCTGTGTCATCTCACTTTGGGTCCTGGCTCCCTGTCCCTTAGGGAGCAGCTGGTCCTTACTGCTCCCTGACATTGTGTTTCCAAACCCCTTTCCTTTTAGGCTTTTGAAAGACTTCCTTTCTTTGGAAGGAGGCAGATAAGAACACTGGCTTTTTCTATACTCTGTACATAGCTTGTGAATAGATATAAAATCTGGCTGCACAGTGCAAATGCTATCATCCTACACAACTAACTTTTTGGATGTGCTTGAATACATTATCTTAGCTTTAAAAATGCAGTAAGAATCTAAACTTTTTCTCATAACTAATGTCACTAATTTTAGCTAGGAAAAAGGACAGCCTTTTTTAAGAGTTAACCCCCTCATCCTAAAAAAAAAAAATACTTGTTTCCCTGTATTGTCTGCAGAAGTAGAGCTTTAAGAAACCACTGTTCCCCAAAGACAATCTCAATTACACTGGAAATTTCACCAGATTTAGCAACCTATGACTGGAAGGCCATAAGGGAAATTTCCAGAAACCCTAGCCCCGTCTTCCAAAGGACTGAGAATTCTGTAGGGCATTTCTAAAGATAATATGAATCTTGCGCTTATCCAAAAGTAGAGATTCAAGAGCATCGTAACATACAAGTCTTTAAATATTTTGTTTTCATATGGAACAGAAGTAAATCAAGAAGAATATTGCATTAATTTTTCATCCAGTTCAAATTTAGCTTTCTTTGCTGATTGCTCTAGGTAAAATAGGGAAGTCTGATGCTCTCATCTGAGCATCACAGGAATTGGAACACATAAAACAAATTTACTGGTCTCTTTTCAGTGGTCAAGCCTGATTGATAGTCTTCTTATGTGATGCTAAAGACTGAGTTATTTTGTGTAGATCTCACTAAGATTAACTTACAATTGCCAAGTGCTACAAGATAAATTATGGATCAGTGTACGGCTTCAGAAGAAGGTGCTTCATTCTTCAGTTTTCCCCTAATAGCCTCATCAAAACTAGTGTCTTATTTCTAGCATATTACTCAATCTACATAGCTGGTCCAATCTACCTTAGTTGTGTTGTCTCTTCTCCTATTATTCATATAACATTCCAGCTTATGTATCTTTTTTTTCCTGTTATTATAGCTGATGGTCACTTTAGGTCTCTCACATCTGTTCCTGTACTTGGGTTTCTAATGTGCAGTCCTGTTGTCCTCTGTTACTCTGTCCCAATGGACCGCTCACAGCTGTAGACAAAAGATGGTAAAATACGAGAGGGTCACACCAGTTCTGACTGAACAGAGTAGTTAACAATAAACTACCAGTTCATTGGTTTATATCTGCCATAAGAAAATGGTCAATGCAAGTAGAAGAAACTATAATAGTCTCAGAAGAGGACATATACCAGCACAGCTATAAAGAATCAAAAATAAAAACCATGCTCAAACAAACGAAGCAGCAGAAAAGGTGCCAAAGTGACCGCTAAACAGTGTGATAAAACTATTACCAGCAAACTGAAGAAAGTATGTGGCACGGCCTGGGAGTGTACAACGTGTCCTCAGCGTCTTCTTGCTTGTGCACTTGGCTGGACAATTGCCTACAGAGGGCTATGAAGTTGGACGGTTGTTTATGGTAGTGGGTACTCCTACAGTGATTGGTTCAAAGAGTTCCTCTAGGGGGAAGACGATTATACTGACTCCTGCATCCAGATGCTACCGGAGTGGTTTACTTAAGAGGGAGAAGTAATAAGGTCTGGTGGACCCCCTCTAACAGAGGCTATCCACAACCACTCTCTGTAGCAGGAGGCTCAAGACCAGGCAGAGTTTGACTTCCTCCCACAAGATGGGGAATCCTGCTTGTATTCTCTTCTATCTTGCTCTCTAGGTCCCTAGGGGCCTCAAAGAATTGCCTGTGAGTTCTCTCAGGGGGCAGATGCACTAATATTTGAGGTGGAGATTTTCCAGCAGATCCAGCTATCAGTCCTGGCTGCTCCAGAGCATGTGCAGCATGCTTTTAAGCAGAAGTTCCTTGGTTGCCCTCTGCCTTAAGTTCCCATATCCCTTTCTCCGGGGAATCAATTTCCTGTTGGAGATGAGGACTGCAAGCATGTAAGTCTTCTGAAGTGCAGAAAACATACAAGGCACTACACTGCTGCCCATACTCTGCCTTCTCTTGTTCCTGCATCTTAAGGACAAAATTTACAACTTGACATTGGCATGAGCAGTCTGAATGCAGTAGACTTTAAGAGCCAGGAGATTTCTCCTCTCCCATCTGCTATTGGTCCAGGTGGTAGCAAGGCTGAGCATACAGTCCAAAGATATAGACAAACACACACTGTACACATGGCCGATCACAGAGCTCAGCACAGAGGACAGTACCTTTACCAACAGCCACAAAAACACAAACAATGCTCACATACACATGAACAAATCAGCCCCATCCTGCTCCTCCTCTCTAGTTGATCAGGATTGAAGTTTACTAGTGGACATACGCATACCCTCACTTTCTGGATCCACAGGCACACATGAATCTGCAGGTTCCTCAAACCCTAGACCAGTTCTTAAGTCTACCCAGAATCCCCGCCCAGACCATGGGCCCCATTTATCAAATCTCCAACTCAGACCTTGGGTCTTGCCAGATGCTACTCTCTTCCTGTTTGCTGGGCATTCCAGCTTGACTGAAGTTTTCTAGCAGAACTTCTGTGCACATGTGCACATTCACTCACCTTACACATACACATACATCCACAGGTCCCTCAAACCATAGACCAGACCATAAGTCTGTCCAAAATCCATGCCCAGACCCTGGCTCCCATTTCACAGAATCACAGAATGGTTGAGGTTGGAAGGGACCTCTGGAGATCATCGAGTCCAACCTCCCTGCTCAAGCAGGGTCCTCTAGAGCACATTTCCCAGGATCACATCCAGGCGGGTTTTGACTATCTCCAGCGAAGGAGACTCCACAGCCTCTCTGGGCAACCTGCTCCAGGGCTCAGTCATCCTCGCAGTAAAGAAGTTTTTCCTCATGTTCAGAGGGAACTGCCTGTGCTTCAGTTTGTGCCCGTCGCCTCTTGTCCTGCTGCTGGGCACCACGGAGAAGAGTCTGGCCCCATCCTCTTGACACCCTCCCTTCAGATATTTGTCTACAGTAATCAGAGTCCCCTCTCAGTCGTCTCTCCTCCGGGCAGAACAGGCCCAGCTCCCTCAGCCTTTCCCCACAGGAGAGATGCTCCGGCCCCTCATCACCTTTGTAGCCCTCCGCTGGGCTCTCTCCAGGAGTGCCATGTCTCTCTTGTCCTGGGGAGCCCACAATTGGACGCAGTAGGCCAGGGGAGGCCTCCCCAGGGCTGAGGAGACGGGCAGGATCACCTCCCTCCACCTGCTGGCAACACTCTTCCTCATGCAGCCCAGGACACCATTGGCCTTCTCGGCCACAAGGCTGTATTGCTGGCTCAGGCTCAACTGGTTGTCCACCAGCACTCCCAGGTCCTCCTCTGTGCAGCTGCTTCCCAGCAGGTCAGCCCCCAGCCTGTACTGCTGCATGGGGTTATTCCTCCCTAGGGGAGGAATCCAGTCTTGGAGTACATTATCCAGTCTTGACCTCTAATCTTGAGTCTTTTCAGATTCTGATCTCTCTGCTGGCTAATCCAGTTTGAAGTTCACTAGCAAATCACACTCCCCTTCCCCATCCCCTGCAGAAGAGAGAGCAAAGTCATATAGAAAATAGTTAAGAATAGAGTTGAATTAAAGAGGATAGGATAGACTGCAGTAAATCAGGTCCAGGACTTGGCCAGACAAGCATACAGACCAGCAGCTTGTTTACATGTGCTCAGCCCCTCTTATCTCCTCTTCATTTTCCCATGCTTGTTCTTCCTCTTCCCTGCTTTTGACCGTAAGCACCTGCAAGATTCACATATACCCACAATCCCCGTAAAGCACCCCACAGTAAGTTTTATGCAATTTCACAAATATCCCATAATAAATTTGCTCTTTCCCATGAGACTCATGATAATCTTATTTCCCTCCTTCTCATCAGTTACAAAGTTCTGGTTGCATCAGCTCAAGGTCATGCCTGCAAGGCTCCTTCAAAGGCCCATCAATCAGTGAACTAAGAGTTCTGGTCTTTGTCTCTATTATCTCCTGCTCACTAGGGTTTGTGTATCTGGCTGTTTAATTTATTACTTTTCTTGTCTGTTGTCTTTTATACGCAGTACCTGTTACCCACATATCCTCTCAAACCAGATATCCTCACAGGATATCTGACATCATGATCTCATATAACGCATCTCAGATGTTGTCTGGAATTTCTAGCTTTTCTACAAATGTATGTTTCTGCCTCTTTTCTCATGTTGTCACTGTATCTTCATGAGATTTTTCTTTATCTCTACTTTTAGTAGATAGTTGTAAGATTGCTTTGCTTTGAACTGGAAAGCTAGTGGAGGTCAGGGGTATGACATATGGGTTGTATTACAGGGCAGTGACATGGAGAAAATCTTTTGGAAAGCTCTGAGGGGCCTGCAGTGCACTGAGGAGACTGCTAGTGATCTGTGCCTCTCTGCAGCAGCCTGTCATGAGGCTGGCCAAGAAGGGATGCAGCAAGCATGAGCAAGGAGTAACTGAAACCACAGAAAGGCAAGGGACCAAAATTTTGAGATGGCTATTTTGTGAACCATGGGTTGTGTGACTTCACAGAACAACCAAGGATATATAGCCAAGGCTAGGTGGGAAGACATTTCTGGCCTTATGTTTACAAGAGGCTGGCAGGGAAAACACTAGTAGGCTCTCCAGAATGGAGGGAGCTACGCTTCACATATTACATGCTCACATTGCATGCTTGCCTGCAGTGAAAATGACACTGAGCACATCTTCTCACATGTGACATGGTTTCCTCTTAAAATGATCTAGTTCGTCTACTCCAGATGAGAGCTCTGGAGCACATTAGTCTGTATTTACTACAGAGGATCAGCTGACCAGGAATAAATAACAAAACCCTTGCTACACCAAGCTGACAGTGCAGACACAACCTTGAGAGTCAGCCACATGTACATGTAGAATGCTGCAGTTTTATCTGATTCAAGCCATTTCATTTCCGCAGTTGGTGAAAACAGGCAAGAAAAAAACTGATTAGTAAAAATTCAGATACATTTAAAAATGATTGTCATTTCTTGTTAGTGCTGTGGTCACATATAATCTAGATTAGATGTGACTGTCGATGAACAAAGCTCTGGACCAAGCATCATCGGTCCTGGAATAACTGAGCCCCCTGTGCTTTCCCCATGCACTGTAGCCTTAAAGGTGGGTTTGTTGCTTCCAGACTTATGTTTTGTGAACTTAATGCCTTTTTGTTATAGCACACTCCTCCCTGGGCCCCAGGAAGTTTTATGTCTTTCACTGGAGGCTTACTCTCCTTCTTTCCTGCCTGCCATACACTGCAGTCCCTGGAATCTGCTCTCCCCTGAGAAGGTACAGTTACTCTCCAGTGCAGAAGCAGGAGGAACACAATACACCAATGGAAAAAAAATTTAGCAAGGAACTATATATGCAGCAGTGATTTAGTTAGAGAACATGAATTTAGCTTGTTCCTCTTAGACTGGCTATGTAGTTTAAAACAAAAAGAAATTTTAATGTCCATGTGAATACCTTGGCTTTTTCAGTTGCTGTGTGTGGGAATACTTTTGATATATGAACATAAAGTTATCAGTTACATTTTATGCCAGAAAAATAAATGAGCGTTACCAAATGAAATTCCTGACGCTATTGTCAAAAACACCAATAGAGAAAACAAAAAAAAAAAGAGGACATTACAGTGGGATTCATGTGTTCACATATAGATGTTCATAGTGTAGGTATCTACATCTGAAGTTGTCCTACAGATTCCTATAAATCAATGAACAGAAAAGGGTATTTTTATGGTGTGTGATTCATCCCACCCTCTCTCTCTTACATCTCTAAAATAGGTCAGTTGAAGTACATCATACAGCGTGCCTCTCCTCTCTAACGAGTATCAAAGGAGCCTTCCTAGCATGTTCTGCATGTGGATGGCTTCCGCTCTGAGTAGCCACAGTATTTAAGGATATTAGGAAGCTATAAAAAACAGATATATGGGATTCTGAAGAGAGAAATAAAAATTGTATCATTTTTCCTTGTTATGAAAAAAATAAGCACTATTATCTTACTGCTTATAAAATTGTTCTTCAGAACATACTTTGCAGCCTTGTCAAGTTTCTTCTGCTACAATTACCTAAAAAGAAGGGATAAGAACAAAATGAGATGTGACAATCTGATATAAATCCTGTCGCTTTCCAGGAGCATGGTTCTGAACATGACTTCATTACATTTTCTGCCTTCCCTAGAAAGTCCTGTGTCTGGACTTAATATCCTATTGTAAACTAAATAGCATTTCTCCGTGTGATTTGTCAGTAACACCGTAGCTTTTGAACACCAGCTCCTATACACTTGACATTGTCAAAAGCCTTGCAACACTAATGCATGATATATAACTTCTTCCCTTTTTGTGCACATAAGAAACAAAAGGACAGAGGTTTTGTTTTTTTGAAGTGTGACAGCAAATCTCTGCCTGATCTAGACTTCACAACAGAACTCTCAGTGATCAGTTTAACTCCTAGATTATAGATTACCTCTGTACCATCACATCTGTGTAGTATTTTTAGTACATTTTATGTCAGCAATAGTTACTCGGGCCTCCTTTTTTACTGAACTTCTAAATTGCTCTTCATATGATTCTTTCCTTTTATGTACAGCACTGTCAAGTACAGTACTACAGAAAAAGAAATGGCACATTAAAAAAATATAGCACTTAAAAAGCATTAGTTGGCAGCTATGAAGTAAAAACTTTCTTTCCGGGGAGAAATTCCGTATTTTAAGCATTAGGAGAAATTTTCTGGAAAATTGGCAGAGCAGCTGGTAGCACTAGATCTATTTTGCTGCTTCCATCTGTGCAATATATGTATAATATTCTCTTCCAAAGATGGATGAAACCTGCATGATCTCATAGCATTTACTTCCAGAAAGGAGTGGGTGAAAAGCTGTGAAAGTATTATTTGTTTCCTTATTTAAGAAAGAACTTTCTCTTAACCATTACCAAGGAGGTAGACAATATCACTTGATGAACAAACTTACTTATACTAAATGCATTTTTACTTAAGTGATACCATGTTCTTGCAAAAAATACTCTTGAGTCCATAGGTAGCAACACATGGGGTTCAAGTCGTTTGCTATGGGGGACATGTATACACTTTTTATATGTGGCAGAGAATATCTCTTTTCTCTCTGTTTAGCATTCCT